GTACGACTATGTCAGCTACCAGTCTGACCTGGGCCCCTACCCGGGTGGGCGCTTCTACGCCAAGCCCCACCAGTGCGTGGCCATCCCCGCCGACCTGCGGCTCTGCCACAGCGTGGGCTATGACAAGATGGTGCTGCCCAACCTGCTGGATCACGAGACCATGGCTGAGGTGAAACACCAGGCGAGCAGCTGGGTGCCGCTGCTCAACAAGAACTGCCACATGGGCACCCAGGTCTTCCTCTGCTCCCTCTTTGCCCCTGTCTGCCTGGACCGGCCGGTCTACCCGTGCCGCTGGCTCTGTGAGGCCGTGCGCGACTCCTGCGAGCCCGTCATGCAGTTCTTTGGCTTCTTCTGGCCCGAGATGCTCAAGTGTGACCAGTTCCCCCAGGACGATGTCTGCATTGCCATGACAGCTCCCAACGCCACCGAGGTCTCCAGGCCCAAAGGTAAGGCGTGACCAGTGCCATGGCCCTGCTCGTGGTGCTTTTCTTTGAGCTGATGGGGCAGGTGTTAGCCCAGGAGGGGCTGTGTGGCACTGAAGGGGGTCTTGCGGCAGGAGGAGGCTCACCTGAACTCTGTTTCTTGGCAGCAGTCCTCCTCCAGCCTCTGAGCGCTCTGCAAGCGCTCCTGTCCCAAGGAAGGCAGGATGCCCTGCCAGTTCCTCGCCTCTATCCTGGATCTGAGCCTGGGAGCAGATGGTGCCAGGGCACAGTGGGTGCATGGCTGCTCTGATCCCTGTGCAGGCACCAGGGTCGGGCTCTGGCCCCTGATGGACCAGGGCTCTGACCCTCCTCCAGATGCTGCACAGCCCTGGTAGCAGTTTCTCTCCCAAGCCTGACTCCTGTGGGGCTGTTCTTGGCAGCAATAGAACACATGGTCCTCCCATGGCAGAAAGCGCTGCCTGACTGGAGTAAATGGTGACAGCAATCCTGATGGGGTACCTAACTTCCCGAGCAGTCCTGGGGCAAGAGGCTGGGCAGCTGGTGGCTGCGTGTGCAGTGAAAATCCAGCCCTGCCGTCTCAGGTGGGGCTGTGTGCTGGCGAGGGGGCAAGAGATTTATCAAGAAATGACTGGGGAAAGTGGATGTAGTTCTTGTTTGTTTCCATTATGTGCGGCAGGTCTGTTTGGTGCCAGACTGGCTTGTTTGTGCGAGTTGCAATGAGTCTGGCTTGTTGCTGAAAACTTTTAAAATAAATCAATGTCCTGGTGTTGCTTCGGCATTCTGCATCGGAGTGCTTTGAAAGGCTGGCAGGAGGAATATTTGTAGAGGGAGAAGGCAGAGGGCTATAAAAGAGTGCAATGCTTTCCTTCGTCCGGAGCTTCATTGAAAGGGATGGGCACTCCCGATTTCATGAGGGGATAGTGCAGGCACTCGGGAGGAGCTCAGGGATGGGGGAGCCATGCGTGGGGCTGAGCGATTCCCGTAGCTTCCATGCTGTGTCTGGAGCTCATCTGGAGGGAAGGTTGCGGCTGCTCACGTGCAGTTACCTTTGCAGACAAAGGCTGTAAGTCGTGCTCGGCTGGGAGCCCTCGTCCAGCCTTCTGGGAACTGTGCAGTGTTATCCCACTCATCCCAGCGGGACTTGTACTTCAGGGAGCCCTTCAGTTATGGGGCAGGAAGGGAGTACATCCTGCAGCAGAGGGGTGACACATTGGGGGTGTCCCCAGGAGCCAGTGCGGGGGCACGCAGAAGGAAGTGGAGAGCGATGGCTTGAGCAGGACGGAACAGTTGCTGCAGGCAGGCAGCCTGCCTGGGGGCAGGCAGTGAGGGACACCTGAGCTCGACACCCGCCGGAGCTGTACAGGCAAACTGTCGTGTCTCAGCAGTGGCAGATTCTGTCGTGTCTCGGTGTGAAGTGTGTACCCGTGCCAGGGGGTGAGGTTTGGCTGCTCTCACTCTCGGGGACCCAGCCTCTCCCTGTGCGGCGCCGACAGCAGCATAGCCACGCTGGCTTCCTTGCCATGGCTTGCACTTACTGATGTGATTGCTGGAGGAAGCTCTTTGTTTTCCAGGAAGGCTCTAAAATCATCTGTCCTATGTGAACCTAGACCTTTGGTCAAGACCGCAGTCATGTCCTGTGTTGCGGGTACAAAGGTTGCTTTTATTCCTGGGGACTTGCAGCCAAGCATGCTCCTGGGGCAGCTGTGTCTGAGCTGCTTGCTATAGAGCTGCCCCTTCCCAGGTCTGAAACAGAGTTTGAGCTGTTTGCTGGTCATTCATTCTAAGAGACATTAGTGACTCAAGACCCGGGAACAGTATTCTAGGTGAGCAGCATCTGCTAAGTTTTCCCTTGTGTAGTTTAACAACTAACTTTCTGATCACCTTTCAGACCTATCTTGACAGCAGCATTGGGGTGGGACATTACCGCTTTCTTTTGGTGCTGCTAACGTGCCCATCCGCACAATATTTGGACACCATGCTGTCATTCACAGGCATCGCTAAAGTGACCTTATTACAAGAAATTACATCAGCTCAGGTTTAAGTCCTTTGTAGATCTATTGCTGGTCCTGTTTAGCATGCAGAGAGGCCTCATTCTGCACAAACTTTAGGGTGTATTAACTTGTTCTTCAAGTGAACTGTAAATCAGAGCTGGGCGAGTATTGCAAGGAAGTATTGCAGCCACTCAGATAAACTGCTGTCTGCTAAATGACTTCGCAAAACTTATGTCCCAAGCACTTTTAAATGACCGATTTGTTCACAAGGATGTTTACAGAAAGTAAGTCTTTAAAATTGTCGTGCAAATGTGAACTCTATTCAGCATTCAGTGGAAAAGTATAAGCAGCCATCTTCACATCCCCTGGCTGCTTGAAAGTATTTCAAGAGAAACCCTTGCATGTGCTGTAGCTGAGCCCCAGCAGCTCCAGAGGTGTCTGGCCAAGCCCCATGAGCCCATCACACCAGCTGGGGCACATATCTGTGAGGGGACGAGCAATCTTGCTAGAAAATGCTTCTTCAAGATGAGAAGGCCAGACCCCCCAGTAATCTGCTGGGCTGGACCTGCTGCCCTTAGGTGTGCCAGCTTTCATGACGTTGATGCTGGTTTGCGGCAGAGGCATGTGTTCTCCTACGAGTAACCTTTGGTTGGTGAAGCTCTGTGTGCCGCATACACCGTGTGCTGGGACGCTCTTGCCCCAAACAGCTTAGAGTGAACAGGGCAAACGTAAAGTTAATTGTGACCACTGCTGTAATGTAAACCAACACAGCCAGGTCTCCTACGCTAATGCTCCTGCTCCCGCACTCTGCAGAAGATCTGTGCATGGCCTGCAGTGATGGCAGGGGCCGGACCCAGCGAGGTGTCCAGCGCTTTGTCCGCTGGCACTGCCACCTCGTGCAGATGAGGGGTGTGTCTGGGTGAGCATGCTTGTGCTGCTGTGGTTCAGCCCTTGTCCCTGTGCATGCCAGGTCCTCCCCTCTGCCTGGGGCTCTGCTGCGGGAGACCCTGTCCACAGTTTGTGTGCATCTTCCATGAGCGCCAGCTCCTGGAGCCCCTTTGGTCTTGGGCACTGGGGTGTGTTTCCTGTTGATTCAAAGAGGTTCAGAACCCAGCAGTGTCCCCCCTTTTCTCTGGGCACTAATAAGAACGAGCCCTTTCAGTATTTTTCCCCATTAACACCTTGAAATTGGAATTTGTTTCTGCCTCTCAAAGAGCTGACCTGCTGAATTCCTTTCTCCTTAAGCATGAGGCGGTAAAGCCTGCAGGCCCACAGGATGCATCAGGGGAGTTGCTGATTAATATAGCATTACACATTCCTTCTCCTGCCCCTGGAGTAAGCTGGCTCTAAAGCCAGGCATTAGAAAATGGTCAGCAGGGAAAAAGTGAGCTGGAAGCAGGCTAAGGTTGTGCTTGGAGTAGAGCTGTCAACTGCAGAAGACGGGCCCCAGCCAAACTGCAGTAGGCTAGGAGGCAGGCGGCTGTGCCTGATACTGCGAGCTGTGGCGGGCAGCCGTGTGCCGGCATGGCTGCCTCTGGGCTGCTGCAGTGGGGACTGCCTGAGGCGGGAGGACCCGAATCGTGGCTGGGCTTCTTCTTGGCTCCATCAGCCTGGGATAATGTGGGAAGGGGAAAGTGAAGTCCTGGGCAGTGCTGTGGGCTGGAAGACACTGGCCATGGTGCCTCAAGAGGGGTGTGAGGGCAGGCAGTTTCGGGATAGCTGTGGCTCCACGAAACAGCAGTTTTCCTGGGGCGCAGAGCTGTGCGGGAGCTGGTTGGCCCCCTGGCGTTCGTGTTCCTGACCTTGGTGTGATGGGGTGTCCCTTGGGGAGAGGAGCATTTCTCTTCCCCTTGGCACAAGACAGTGTCCTCTGGCAGCCCTACAAGCACATCCAAACTGCGATGGGGCTGCGGGAGGCAGGGCTGGAGGATGGTTCCCTCATGTGGAGCTGCCTGGCGCACAGCTGGGGTGAGCACTGGGTGCCTGCTGCCACTCGCGAGGCCATGGGGGTCCTCCTGGCACGGGGTGGCATGCCAGGGGCTTAGCCCTGGTGCAGGGATGCGTCAGCCTGGCAGTGGGATGTGTGCGCGGGTGAGGCTGCTGCTCGTGCTGCGTTGGACGGCTGGCAGCGCTCGCCCTGCCTGGGGCATCAGCAGAGCCACAGGGAAGTTCTTCTCCGTGGCGAGAGGAGCATTGGCAGGACGCGCTTGCAGCGTGGCTGGCAGACGTGTGCTGTGTCACCGATGGGAAAGGGGACGGATGTGCTGCTCCGTGGAAGGAGCTACCCAGCGTGGCTGCAGTGGCTCCAGCCCACGCGCGATGGCTGCTGGCTCCAGGCCCTTGCTGTAGCAAGGTGGGGGTCCCTGCCATCCTGGGTGTACCATAGCATTCCCAGGGGCTGCCATAGCGCAGCTAAAACAAAGCTTGTGTTTTCACCAGGGAACAATGAGTCTTATTTTCCTTTTTTTTTTTTCTTTTGGTTGTCTGGAAAGCTCATAGGGTGGACACAGAGGTGGCTTTCATGTTGTTTGTCTGGCCCGTGTAGGCTCGGCCAGTCTCCTAGCGTGCACTTCAGCTGCTGAGGCACATCGAAGTGCTTTGCACACAGGAACGTGCGGAGATGAGCTAATGCATGGCAGGTACCCCCTCTTGTTCCTGGGGGTGGTCCCCACCACAGTAACTAACTTTTGCACTGCAGCAGAGACAGCCTGCTGGGGCTGTCACTCTCCCGCCAGCATCCCCTTTCCCTTGTCATGAGCTCATTGAATGTGCAGCCTGGATGGAAATACTCTGACTGCTGATTTTAAAAATAAAGTGTTGGGGATGTCATCATGTCCCTAAAGGCTGGCTTCTGCCTGTGCCACTCTAAGATAGTAAAAGTGGCAATTGCATGTGAGGATTTTGGAAGTTACCCAGGTGATGGGCGGCTCTCACAGGTAGCGAGGTACCAGGAGTGGGACTGTTAAGTCAGCTGTTGGGTGCTGCGAAGGTTGCCTTGTGACTTGCACATCGAGGTGATTGGAAGGCCAGTTGCTCTCCATGTGTGATTAATAAAGACATGGTGCATGACCCCAGGAATTAGCATTTGGCACAGAACACATTTGGGGGGGCGAGAGGGGAAGAACAAGCCACAGAAAACAAATGTCTTGCCTGAAACCCCGTGGGGCATCTGTGACTGAGGAGACTCAACTCTGTGGTTGGTGCGGGTCGCGGCCGTGCCTCCCTCGCCAGCCAGTCTGGCTCTGCACCCCTCTTGCTGGAGACCTCTGTTTTTTCTGTCCAGCAATGCTGCGGGTTTTGTTGGCCTGGCTGAGGGCTGGAAGGGGGTGAGTGCTCCGTCTGCACGCAGGGACCGGCAGATGTTTTGCTGCAGCGCTGTCCCCGAGAATAACTCCCTTGTGTGGGAAAGAGCCCTCCGTTCTGCTGGGCCAGGAACAGAAGCAGCATCTCCCAGCTCAATAAATTCATCCGCCAGTAGCACAAATCTGCGTCTGTGCTGCTGGGTGGTCTCTGCTCTGGCTGGAGACGGCAACCTGGAAACAGATTTTTATTCTCTGGGTGAAGTGAGCTTTCCTCCCAGGATGGGTCCTGGTGAAATATCCTGGGCTGGCATTTCCCAAGAGGAGGATGTCGGCCGCCGCCAGCAGCTGGCGAGCAGAGCTGGCTTTTCTCTGCTGGAGCCGCGAGGCTGCCCTGCAGGCCTGCAGGGTGTAGCCGGGCCGAAAACAAAAAAGAGAAGACGTCTGATCTCGGGGTCGTGCTGGAGGGGCTCCTGGAGGGGGGACGGTGCATGTGAGAGATTTGCGGGTCCATTACCGACCAGTGCCGCTCTGGGGCAGGGAAGAAGGTGAGGGGCTTGCTGTGCGATGCCTGGGCAGCCTGTGGGGTGGTCCCTGGCACCGAGGGGGAACCTGCGCTGAGCTGGACTGTGCCAGTCCTGAACTCCCCCTGCCTGGCTCTGGGGCGGCTCCTGGTCGGGGCAGCCCCTTGGCGTGTGAGCTGTCCCTGGGCACCATCCTCCTGCTGTGCTGGGGTTTGGGCCTTGGCATGCCGCAGGGAGGGAATGTCAGCAGGCTGTGGGCCATGCCCCGCGATGAGTGGCTCCCCTCAGCTGAGTGCCTGGCCCTGAAAACCCCTCTCCTTGCCAGCACTGTCCTCCTGCTCTTGGCAGCTGCCTGCCCCTGCCCGTGCCTGGTCTTGGGGCTGCTGGCAGCACTGGAGCAGGGCTGGCAGGAGGCTGCTTATGGCCAGCGCTGCCCTGTGAGCTGGTGGATGGCTCCTGACCCCCGTCAGGGTGTCAGCCCACAGGGCTGGGACCCCATGGCAGGGTGCCTGGGCGCATGACCCACTTGAGGGCAGTGATCTGACAGCATGGGCAGCCCAGCTCTGTGGTGCTTCTTGAGCTGGCTCCTCACCACCTCTTCTCTCCTCTTGCCAGGAACGACTGTGTGTCCCCCGTGTGACAACGAGATGAAGTCGGAGGCCATCGTGGAGCACCTGTGTGCCAGCGAGTTTGGTAAGGAGGAGCGCTGAGGGCATGGGGAGGCTTTTCTGGGGGGCACAGGGCAGCGTAGCTCCTGTGTGGGCCGGATCCTGGACCACTGTGTTTCCCTGCCCGCCCTGAGAGCGGTGCGGCCAGTGGTTCGGCTGGTGTGGCTGCGTTGCCTGCGGGCAGCCACAGTCCTTCCCTGAGGCAAGCGTGCCTCTAGATGTCAGTGTTGGCACGCAGAGGCCGGTGGTGGGACAGGACGGGACTGGACGTGTCTGGGACGTGTCCAGCTCCTGCAGCCGAGCACACCCGGGGACCGGGACAGCGGGGTCCTGGTGTCAGTGCCTGTGCTCCTGCATCTCCCTGGCTGCAGTGCTGAGCATCTCTCCTGCCCCACCCGGCGAAACGCCATGCAGGATGAGGTTCCCAAGCACGGGATCACCCGCTGAAGCAGCGATGCTGCAGGCTGCGAGGCCCTGCTGCTGCTGTCAGCCCAGCTGCGAGCAGAGAACCAGATGGTGTTGGTCTTGAGTCTGGGGGTGGGACAGAAGTGGCAGTGCCTGTTCTTTGGTGAACTTGGTGCGGTTTGTAACTGAACCCTGGTGTTCCCGTGTTCTTGTGTGCTTGCAGGAATGATGCTTAAGATGGACCCTTATTCTGCTTGCAATCATGAAGGAGCAAACCAGCTTCTTCCTTCCCCCAGATTGCTTGTACCGCTGGGTTTCTTTTTACCAAAGTTATGCTGCTCTTGTCAAGTCTAGGTGTAAAAACCCAAAGCCAGTCCTTGTCTAGCTAGGGCCAAGCAGTGAGCTTAAGAAATGCAGAGCTACTTGAAAGCTGTGTCCTAAATATGTTATAGCTGAGTAAGTGAGTAAGACAATCATAGGTAAACAGAACTTCATTTAAAAAAAAAAAAGTATTGCAGGGAAAAATATTAGCTTTCTCAGATCAAACCTGGAATTAACTGGTTTTGACATCCTTGCTGGTGTATGTAACTTTCCCGGAAGGTTATTAAAGGCATATTGAACAAGGTGTGCATTCCTCGGGGATTAGCACTTGAATGTGCCCTGTGCCAGAGCGCACTATGCTCTGCATGTTGGCGTATTACCCTTTCTGCTGGAAATGAATTCTCAACTCTCCTGCAGATTTGGTATGCCAAAAGTCCTAAGTTCAGCACAGACTTTTTCTAACAGGGAAAAGCATCAACAGGAGCACCCGTGTGATAGTTTCCCAGGAATGCGTGTACTTCAAGCTGGGTTGGGTAACAGACGCATGAATTCGGCGTGGCAGCCTGGCTGGGGAGTGGGATGTGCTGTTCACCCGACTGTTGGGCTGAGAGCTTGGAGGTTGGTGAGCTGGAGCACTCTGATCTCTGCCCTGGGCAGGCATGAGATGAGAGGTGAATAGGAGGTGCCCCTGCCCCACTGCATCTGTGGGGAGAGACTGGAGGGAGCTTCCCAGCTGGCGTGGAGGGAGCATGTGGCCTCTGGGACCAGCGCGCCTGGTTTGGGCAGGGGCTGTGTGTCTGGGTTTGCGGTGACACAGAGGCATCACCCCAGTCCAGGGGCCCTGGGCTTGGGGACCTCTATCCTGGAGGAGGAGCGAGGGGTGCTGGCTGGGTGGCAGCGGCAGCTCCGTTGTCGGTGGGTCGCTGCGATACCTGTTGCTTCCCCGGAGGCGCGCAAGGAGCAAACTGAGGTGGCATCCTGCTGGTGGGCAAGTGCTGGGAAGGGAAATACAAGTTTAACCGCATGCTTGTCATCAGCCTCTGCTGCTAAATATCCTCCCCATGCTCTGGGACAGTTACACAACAGGGAGCAGAGGCCAAAACAGAAGTATTCACAGCCTCAGTGGAGCGGCTTGAGACATTGACTTGCCCACAGAGTAAGTTGGTTATTGGGAAATTTTGTGGTGACAGTGTCCAGAGGATGGAAATACTTCTTGGCAGGCCGCCCTCTGGGTAGGGCTGCGGCAAGTGGCCAGATATAGTGTTACCGTGCACCGTGAGCAGCAGAGGAGCAGCAAGTAGAGGAGACCTTCAGCCCCTGTGCCTACACCCAGTCAATCCAAAATGGCTGTGAAGGTTTTCACAGAAGCCTTCCTCCTGCTGTGGTTCGGGGTGGTGGGGATGGGTCCCTGTTCCCAGGCCAGCTGTGATGGATCCCAGTACGGAGGGAGAGAAATGGGAGCCAGCTCCACAGGCTTGGCTCGCCGGGAGAAGCTCTGCTCTCTGCTGTGTTGGGGAGCTCAGTGGTGTCACTGAGTGCCCTATGCCCACATTCACGTGACAGCAGCTTGTGCAGACAAATGCGGCTAGATTTGAACCGGCTCGTGTGAGCCCTTGGGATCGCTTTAGTCGTAATGTCAGGTATCGCAGCTGCGTCGGTGCACCCACCTGACTCCCCCAGATCACCATGTTTCTCCAGCTTTGTATAAAGTCATTTGTTTTCTCTGCCAAAGCAGAGTCTGATGTTTTTTCTGACCATTGCAAGGACTTTGGGATCATTCTTTGTTCTGTGGATCAGCACAACTCCAACATGTAACTTTATTTTTTAAACGTCAGGGCTCTTGCTGATGCTGAGGTTGCTCCCATTCCTCCTCCTTCCCACTCCTGCTCTCTTTTTTTTTTGTCTCAGAAAGAGGTTTTTCATTTGAAAACGAGATGACTTCCCTACTGTAGAGAAGTCCAAAGGCAGCTGAGCAGGACACAGCTGATGTCTGCTGCATGTGAACAATCATTCTGTCTTCACACTGGAAAGCTGGTTGTGTCTTGGATATACTTTTGTTCCCCTGCTCCTCCAGTCCACCAGACTCAATCGTGGTGGGAAGCTCACTTGCATGGGTTTTCAGTGGTGTAGGTTTCATGCAGTTGCATTTGGTGTTTTCTTTCTTCTGTCACTGTGTTTTCCCTCCCCATCCAGGAGGGTCCTGGGTGCACGTAGCGCTGCCTCCAGATGTGCCCAGTCTGTAGCCAGCTGGGGAGCCAGAGCAAGGGAAGAGATGAGATGCAGGCCTTACCTGTTCCCTGCAAGGGAGGGCAGTGCAGGGTGCTCCTGGGGATGTCCCAGCTGTGGAGAGGAGCCAGCAGAGGAGGCATTGACTTCAGGAAGTTTTCTCAAAGCACAGTGCGTGGCCTTTGGATCTTTGTTTAGTCTTGGGTGTTATTGTCATGGGGCAATTTCTCAAGGAGAGCTGTTTATCTGGCACTAAAATAAACTCCCAGCCCTTCAGACTGAGATTTCTCATGCACATCCACCAAGGTAAACACTGGCAGATGACAGGTTACAGATCCTCATCAAAGCAGACACGTACAATAAATGTTTAAACTAACGGGTGCTGCACAGGGCAGCTGTTAGTGGGTCCTGCACTGATTCCCTCAGTAGCGTTACTGCGGGTTTCACTTACACTCCAGTGGCTTGTTACAGACAAGACACTTTGCCCACCACTGGTGTGCGGCCGTGCCAGGGTGGGAGGTGGCTGTGTAACAGCCCTGGGAGCGATGTCGGTCTCGAGGACAGCAAAGGAAGAGAGCTGCATTCAGCTGTGAACACAGGAAGACTGTAAAGAAAAGGGACCTTTCTTCCCTGGGCCAGGAGAGGGCCTTGGACAAGACCTTGGGGCTTGGAGGGGTGCCAGGAGACTGCCAGCCTCGTGGGCCAGCAGGACTCTAGGTTTGCATTCGTTTGAGCAGCAGTGAACGTGGGCTCCTGGGTGCTGGTTTGGGGCAGCTCTGCTCCCTGCTGGGCTGCCAGCAGCTTGGCAGCTCCCCCAAGAGCAGGATGGCTCTGGGCTGGCAGCATGTCTTGCTGTCCACATGGCTCTGGCTGGGGCTTGCTGTGCAATAGCCACACGGTGGGAGCGATGTGCATGCTCCCGTACCCCCGGCAAAGCGTTTGGCACTGTCTGCCTGCTGCTGTGGCCGTCCTGCCTGTAGGTGGAGGGGACCTGGGTTGGCACTGCTGGAGGCACTTGGAGATTAGCTTCTCCTTTATTTCAGCAGCATGCAGGAGCTGCCTCCTCTTCTCCACCCTAGCTCTCTCCTTGGAAGCACCAGCCAAGTGCCTCCAGGAAAGGGGAAATGTTTTTGATCCAGCATCTCTGCGTGCAGCTCCCAGCATTGTATCTGGTTTGCTGCTCAGTTACTTGCCGTAGCAGCAGTCCCCTGTCCCTGCAGTATGCAGCAAGGTCCTGTTGCACCTCTGGCTGTGTTTGAGTGCTGCTCCACATCTGCCTGCCTGGGTGCCAAGGCTGGGAGCAGGCAGCAGAAGCATCGCCCATGGCTTGGAGCGGGGCTGTGGGAGTGCAGAGCAGAGGGTGTCAGCGAGTGGCGCAGGGACCCTTGCCTGGGGCACAGACCAGCCCTGGGGGCTGGGCCAGGTATGCGTGGCCTAATTGCAGTTTAGATTTTGGTGCAGCTCTGGTGTGCTGGGGGCAGCGATGGATGCATGATGAAGTGTGAGACTGCCCTCCTGTGCCCCTGCAGCCGCCTCCCCCAGTCTCCCTGGGCTGCAGCCAGGGTTTGTTTCTTACTCCTTGTGCAGGCTGGCCTGGCTCTGGAGTTCATTCCTCTCTCTGTTTCTTTTGGTGATTTTATTTATTGTTTCTGCCCTTTCTCTGGGGTCTGAGGGGATCCTGCTGAATGGGCTCTCGCTGCACTAGAGACTGCAGTACAATCAATACATGCTGTTTATTTTTTCCTGTGACTGACAGCTCCTTGCCTGCAGCCTTCTCCTGTTACAGCCCTAATGTGTCTTCTGGCAGATTTCCTCCTTCTGAGTGATTTCTAAAGGAAGGAGCAATGAGGCTGAAGGAACAGCAGAGCTTTCCCTTCTCTCACGTTCTCTTCCCTGCCCCTGAGGTGCTGGAGTGGGGCCCCTGCCTGTGCAGGCAGGAGAACAGTAGACAGTGTCCCGGCCCCAGGCTCCTGCGGGCTGAAAAAGAGGGGTTGGAGGTGCCTGTGGGGCACAGTCATGGTGGGTGCGTGGTGGTGGACAGTGAGCAGGGTGCAGGGGCTCGTGCATCTCAGC